CATGCAGTGATTATCCAATAGGAGGCTCCTACCTGTTTGCTTAGTTGAATCCAGGTGGCAACTTTTTTTTGGCCAGGCAGTGTATATATATATTTAAATGGGTAACATACATAATAAAAAAGCCTAATATTTATTTAAACAACAAAAGATTTGTTTCTAAAGTTCTTCAGTGTACTTTAAGGTTTAGCTGTGGGAGAGTCCCTGAAAATCTCCACAGTCTCCACTTCTGTAGGACTGCTAATGTTTTACAGTCTGTCAACCTTGCAGCTCTGCAGCAGTTATTTAAGCATCCAGGGCGAACAAAACGTCATGAAATAAAGCACTCATTGATGAGCTACCTGCCGCACGTTTATTACTTTTATGCTAATCCATCCTCACATGTTTTTAAACTGCAGCTTTTCCTCAACCAAGTCTGCAGAAGTAATAGTTTCTTGCTCTTTTGTCTGTTCAGTCTTGGCATGATGCTAACTTTCTATTAATGTCCTTAGCAGCACTCTAATGCCTGTGTGCTTATCTAACCAATGACACGCAGATATTAATCTGACACGGCACCACTCTAAATGCCTGGTTATCCTCCCGCAGCAGTGTGTTGCAGTTAGCATGTTGCAGGTATGACGCAGATATTTTAGATTTATGCCCAATATTGAAGCCTGGTCTGCTTCAATATTATTTAATTGATTTTTTATTCTATTTTTCTATTGTATATACTGTGTCTAAACATCCCCTTTTTTTTTTTTTCTTATATGTGCAATTTTTCCTGCTACTGGAAATACAATTTCCCGAAGGGAGTAATCCCAAGGGATTAATAAAGTCAAGTCTAAGTCTAAGTCTAAGTCTAAGTCTATGTTATTCCATGCCACAACGCCAGAGGGACAATCAGGAACTAGCTAGGATGGTGGGTGGCGTGTTTCTCTTCCAGTTACGGAGGTCATTCAACAACAATGGAGACTGCAGCGATGCGCACATTGACTGAGATGCAGCTGATCCATCTAGAAATAGAAGACCATGCAGACTCGCTCTTCTAGCTGGTCCATCTTCATCAGTCCTTTTCCTCAATGGCGGTCATATGAACAAAACAAGCCGGTAAGGTACCAAACAGGAAATACGCATAGTGTAGAGCGGAAGTGGATTTGACCAATCAGAGGCCCCCTGTGTGCGGCACGGTCTGCGGTCAGCTACAGCTGAGAGGTGCAGCAGAGTGTCTGTTGAGGGGGCGGGGCATGTCTGCGTTAACTGCGACACACATGCAGACGACCTGGTTTCTGAGCATAAACCAGGCTTTAGCCAATCATCTGTTAGAACAGATAGTCAATGCATTTTTTACATTCTATGAGTGGATATTGGGCTACAGCGCAGCAAAAATGGAAATAAGGCTTTAAGCCCAGTTCCCTAATAAGGGAGGACAACTATGCGTCCCGCTGGACATTTGACAGTGCAATGAAAATCACCAACATCATCTTCTTGTTTCATTGGCTTCATTTTCATTCCTATTCTGCTTTGTTGTCTGGTTCCTCATCCTGATGAGTCCCGCTGTGTCTCTCGGCTCTGACATCACTAATGCCATCACAGGGACACCAGGCTGGTCAGAGCTTTGCATACACGAAACACAAGCATGGGATGAACCAGTCAATGGATCATTGAGATGACCCAATGAGTCATCATTAGTCATTCTGACCATCTTCATCACTCTCAGCGTGATGCTTGGATATGCCCCCTTAACCCCAACCAGGGGCCCCAGGACCTAAAGCACTGTCAGACAGCACAGGGGCCCTGGATCATAGGCAGCGACCTTATGGCAGCCACTGGTTTGGCCCGGTCGGGCTGGGCTTGGGAAACCTTTGCCTCCCCAGGAGCTACCGGCTAACCTTTCCTAGATCCGTATGTCCAGAAATGGTGTTCATGATGCAGAAGTTCAGAGGTCAGCAGGCAGACATGGTAGAAATGGGTAGTCCCGCCTGCTCTGACCGACCTGCTGTCTTGTTGTCTGTTTGATCCCTCAGCTGATCAGCGACGGCAGCGTGGTGTACGCCGAAGCCCTGTGGGACCACGTCACCATGGACATCCAGGAGCTAGGCTTCAAGGCCGGTGATGTCATCGAGGTCATCGACGCCACAAACAAGGAGTGGTGGTGGGGCCGCATCGTGGAAAGCGAGGGCTGGTTTCCTGCCAGCTTTGTTCGGGTGAGTGATCCAGAACCGTTTCCTGACGCCTGGAGCCTCAGCTGCTCTTTAGGTGCTGACGCTGCCTGTGTGTTACCTCTGTTCACATAGCTGCGGGTGAATCAGGACGAACCCATGGAGAAGTTCTCCAGCCACCTGGATGAGGCCCAGTGTGGAGAGCAGGACCTAGCCGCTCTGGGCCGGCTGCTAGGACCTGGATTACCCTGCAAAGAGGAGATGAGGGCCAACGTCATCAACGAGATCATGAGCACGGAGCGGGACTACATCAAGCACCTGAAGGACATCTGTGAGGTGAGTGACCGGCTGAGTCTAGAACAGACGCTTAGGAACCAGAGATACCAGCTTAGAGCAGCTTCCCGTGTTCAGGTCATTTCTAAGTTTCCATGTGAGGTTCTGCAGCCTGGTTTTGATGTGGAACCCTCCCTTACCTAACTTGGCCAGGTTAGTATCAGCTAAGAGCCGCCTTCCATAATACGCTTTCAGCCAATCGTAGCAGCGAATCGGGATGTTTCAGTGGATTAAGGTGATCAATCAAATCCTTTGGGAAGAAAAATACAGACATCTTTCCCATCAAATGCACAAAGTGCTTCTTTGCTCCTTTTTAAAACTAGAAATTGTTGGTATTTTAGCTAAAACCAAGCTAGAATTGCGATATCAACAGGTGAGTCCTCCAGCGTAGCCATGTTTGCCCTTCTGACTGTCCTCATTCTTACATGCCCCGCCCCTAAAAACACTGCTGGCCTCTCATTGGTCCGACCCGCTGATTGTTACAAGACAGACGTATTACCGGGGGCCTTTCAAGATAGGAGCTGTTGTGAGACTCAAAACTCAGATCTTGCAACAATCCAGTTTGCAGAGCAAAGTTATTCCTCACCTGGTCTCACGCAGTTTTATGGTTCCTACCAGCCCTGTTCTGGTAGGAACAGTCCATGGTGCAGGCCATCTCAGCCATCTTTGAGCCTTGTTCCGCTCCTACCCTGGTTCTGCTCTGACCCTGGTTCTAGTTCTGCTCTGACCCTGGTTCTAGTTCTGCTCTGACCCTGGTTCTAGTTCTGCTCTGACAATGGTTCTAGTTCTGCTCTTACCCTGGTTGTAGTTCTGCTCT